ATATATATATATATATATATGTTATTATGACCATTAATGACATTAAAGTTGGGAACACTCCTAATGGAGTATCACCCTGTGTCGGGGGGGGGGGCCTCTGGCGACTGGGTTAGGTGCACACTATCATGCCCACAGTAGCGGCTCGAGTCTGCACCTACTGACCCTCATAAGCCGCTAAATGGGCGTATTCACACGAAAGCTCGTTTACGAAACAGATATCCGTTCGTCGTTTTGCAGGGGACGTTCAAAGAGGTGTCGCAGATCAAATACTTCACCAGTAAGAAGGTGAAGTACATCTGGAATACGGCGAGCCAGAACTTCGTCCGACTGACGTAAGTAAAGGCTGCGGGGGCGGCGGCCGCGCGCGTGCGTGTCGCAGCGATGCGTGTCGCAGCGATGCGTGTGCGCGCGTGTCCCGCACAGCTGATAGTGCCGTGGAATCGTCGTTCTTTATCAATGAGGTCGAGTGATAACTTTATGATCAGCACGTATCAGCGCTGAACGCATAGGTTTGCCTTATGTTGTCCTGCATTACCGTTTTTTTAGGAGTTTCGACGAAGACACCCCTTGCTCCTTCTTCTACACGTGCAAGGGACTACTGGACGAAGACCAGGAGATCAGGTCCGTGGTTTCCCCTACGTATTACCCAAGGTCTACGCAATCACGTCTGTTCACGGTCAATTCTCGGTGTGAAAGCGTCTGCGACTTGTGTAGATTGTAGTGTGGGGTTCCACTGGTGTCAACGTGATGTTTTTGCATTTTTCTTCGAGTTTTTAGTTCTCATTGAAAAATAGCTGTAAAAGCATCCTAAACATTTGTAGAATGTATTGTCGCATTGTCCCCTTCACGGCAATGTGACGGTCGACTTTTCTCCTGCATTGGTGTTCTGATCAATGGGCGTCTTGTTGTTCACAGGCAGCTTGTCTACGACACAAACGAGATCAAGGTTCGATTATGGCCCATCTACGAGATCGTGTACAGAGAGGTAGGCTAACATGAATGTTATACTTACTTGTATTTAATAAATGTACTTAATAAATTACTGTTACTCATCTGTTAACGCGTGGATAGCAGTAAAATAGCAGCTAGATGGCTCTACTGAGATCGTGTACAAAGAGATACTTGTATTGGTTGTAAGGTCGCCATCGGTTCGTGACGAGCGAGTTTGGCGGTCGTCATGGCGACAGCGCGTGGGGCCCACGATGCGAGTCGCGTTACGAGTTGATACGCCAGCGCTTTACTGGTCGCTGCTATGTATTGAGAGATTTCGCGTGGCTAGCTGACATGCAGCGGTTGCCGTTGAGCGTTTTATGGCGCGAGGCGTAACCACTTGCATGGGTGTCAACTTTCCTCCATCTGTAGACGGATTTCCGTCTTGAGAAAAATTCTGGAATTTTTTTTAATGTTTTTTTTAAATAAAAATTTTCAATTTTAAAAGTGAATTGCATGTAGTATGATCTTAACTATTTATGCCTTTTTATGTTATGTTGTGCTATGTATGTGCTAATGGTCTCGGTGCCCCTGCCATGTGTGGATAGGTTTCCGATGGTGTTATGTACGCCGAATGCTTGGTATTGCTGCTTTCAGATCGTGAATCCCTTCTACGTCTTCCAACTGTTCAGCTGTCTGCTGTGGTATTTCGACGAGTACTGGATATACGCAACCTGCATCGTCGTCATGACTGCCTCTTCACTCACTTTCTACGTATACTCGTTCAGAAAGGTGAGATGTAACATCTCTTTTACACTGTGTTTTTACTTCCTCACTTTCTACATCTACTTGTTCAGAAAGGTGAGATCAGCGGATGTCCTACATTGAGTTTTTTCTGTCTCGGTCTTTCACATCGTTAGGAAGTAATTTGTGTTGCTTGATTAGTCTACGTCTGTGCTGGTTATGCGGAATTTAATTAATAGTTGTTGGTGGATTGTCAGCGGATATTGTTTTATTCTATGACACAATTTTATTTCGAGATCACTTTTGTGACAGGCACAAGCTTGGCTAAGAAAGTAGCTCGGCTGTCTAAACTTTTATAGCTCTAGTAAATGTTTTGCATTTATCTCGAAATTAAATTACGTTACGTAAAAAAATTCCTCAATAGTTCTTAAGAATCTCCCCCATCTCTAGGTGATGCAAACTTGCCTGTTCACGATATTTGGCAATGGCAGTGGCAATGCAGTGGTATACGTTATAGTTCAGACGATATTCATTGTTAAATCACGAACTTAATGCATTCCACAGATGCAGACGGAGCTCCGTGACAAGGTTGTGTCACACGATGTCATTACTGTATGGAGGACGGGTGAAGGTAAGTGCCTCTACTCGACTGTACGAATCACCAACAGTACAAAAATCGCAGCAACAGATGTTACGCTGGCCGGAAATGCTCGATAAGTGATGCTATTTTCTGTGTAAATGTTTTTCAGCTTGTATGTACATTTCATGCAGATTACAGTCATGGGCCAGTGTTTACGTTTGCTATCATGTCTAGTCATTCGGCCTATGCTGTTCGCAATAGCAACGATGGCTTTCGGTAGGTCGTGTGTACCTGTGTCTACGTCAATGTCACGTTATACCAACGTGCCGTTACGTTTATGTTTCAGCTTACATTATGTAATTATGTTTAAGTTTCAGCTTACGTAACGTTTACATTTCAGCTAATGTAACATTCACGTTTCAGCTTACGTGACATTATGTTTTCGTTTCAGCTTACGTTGACGTGGAGACAGAGAAGCTGGTGCCGGGTGACGTGATCGTCATCCCGCCGCACGGCTGTGTCATGCAGTGCGACGCCGTCCTCGTCTCCGGCAACTGCATTGTCAACGAGAGCATGCTCACAGGTGAGACAGGTGACGGGCTTGATTACAGGTGTGGCGTGGTCACAGGTGAGGCCTGTTATGGGCGTGGTCACTAGTGAAGGCCTCAGATGCTGAGATGGCGACATATTTCCTTATTACTTGACGACTTGGAAGTCCCTGAGCAACACACAAATTTACTTCCTCACTTTCTACATCTACTTGTTCAGAAAGGTGAGATCAGCGGATGTCCTACATTGAGTTTTTTCTGTCTCGGTCTTTCACATCGTTAGGAAGTAATTTGTGTTGCTTGATTAGTCTACGTCTGTGCTGGTTATGCGGAATTTAATTAATAGTTGTTGGTGGATTGTCAGCGGATATTGTTTTATTCTATGACACAATTGTATTTCGAGATCACTTTTGTGACAGGCACAAGCTTGGCTAAGACAGTAGCTCGGCTGTCTAAACTTTTATAGCTCTAGTAAATGTTTTGTATTTATCTCGAAATTAAATTACGTTACGTAAAAAAATTCCTCAATAGTTCTGAAGAATCTCCCCCCTCCCCATCCCTAGGTTATGCAAACTTGCCTGTTCACGATATTTGGCAATGGCAGTGGCAATGCAGTGGTATACGTTATAGTTCAGACGATATTCATTGTTAAATCACGAACTTAATGCATTCCACAGATGCAGACGGAGCTCCGTGACAAGGTTGTGTCACACGATGTCATTACTGTTTGGAGGACGGGTGAAGGTAAGTGCCTCTACTCGACTGTACGAATCACCAACAGTACAAAAATCGCAGCAACAGATATTACGCTGGCGGGAAATGCTCGATAGGTGATGCTATTTTCTGTGTAAATGTTTTTCAGCTTGTATGTACATTTCATGCAGATTACAGTCATGGGCCGGTGTTTACGTTTGCTATCATGTCTAGTCATTCGGCCTATGCTGTTCGCAATAGCAACGATGGCTTTCGGTAGGTCGTGTGTACCTGTGTCTACGTCAATGTCACGTTATACCAACGTCACGTTACGTTTATGTTTCAGCTTACATTATGTAATTATGTTTAAGTTTCAGCTTACGTAACGTTTACATTTCAGCTAATGTAACATTCACGTTTCAGCTTACGTCACATTATGTTTTCGTTTCAGCTTACGTTGACGTGGAGACAGAGAAGCTGGTGCCGGGTGACGTGATCGTCATCCCGCCGCACGGCTGTGTCATGCAGTGCGACGCCGTCCTCGTCTCCGGCAACTGCATCGTCAACGAGAGCATGCTCACAGGTGAGACAGGTGACGGGCTTGATTACAGGTGTGGCGTGGTCACAGGTGAGGCCTGTTATGGGCGTGGTCACTAGTGAGGGCCTCAGATGCTCAGATGGCGACATATTTCCTTATTACTTGACGACTTGGAAGTCCCTGAGCAACACACAAAACAGCACAGATTCCCAAATCCACGTCACGCTTAGGCCGCGCCCCTTTCAAATCGTTGATTTAACTGGATTTACTATTGCTTCAAAAGTTACAAAAACACGTTTTTTTGATAAAATACCTGAAGGTAAGTAATGTTATGGTAAAAACTTATTGTTTATTGTTTTTTACTGAAAAAATATAGTTGGGTTCACATAAGAAATATGTGACCGTACGCGTAGCCTGGGAGCTGGGCGTCCGGTAACCGGACGCGTAGCCGCGGCCTTAAAAAAAGAAAGAATCCTGATTGTCATTGATCTCTCTGTTTTGTTTTCTCGTGCGGCGCACAGGTGAGAGCGTTCCCGTCACTAAGACGCCGCTGCCGAACCCTAAAGGCGAGGAAGTGTCGTACTCGATCAAACAGCACTCGCGACACACGCTCTTCTGCGGCACAAAGATCATACAGACGCGTTACTACGGCAACGAGAAGGTCAAGGCCGTCGTTGTGCGAACAGGTGCGAGAGAGATGCTATTGCTAGAGCCTTCACCGGCTGTCGGTTAGAGGTGACCTTCGAGTGTGAACGAGTCTTCTTAGCGTTTTATATCGACCTTTTCGTTTCGTACCTTCTAGGTGTAAATGAGACATCTTAGCGTGTTATCGCTCGAGTTAAATCTCAGATCGTAAATCTTTATCTTAAATCCCTCGAGTTATTCTCGACCTTTTTGTCGCGTTGTTTACGAAGCGTATCTACTAAACTTTTGCGCTAGTTTTTTTGAACTCGTTGACTAGGGTAAATATGTCAGCTTAGCACTACGGAAATCTTACTTTTTGGGAGTTTTAATCGAATCGGTTCAAACTATTCCATTCGTATCTCCCCGGTGCCCCCCCCCAGCGAAGTAGGCATGCTATTATTCTGTCATCAGACATATTCTATCGCGTCGTGCTCACCCGTGTTCGTTGTTACGCTGGCAGGTTTCAGCACGGCTAAGGGAGAGCTGGTGCGCGCCATCATGTTCCCGAAGCCGATCGACTTCAAGTTCAACCGGCACTCGTACTACTTTGTGCTGTGCCTCGGCGGATGCGCCCTCGTCGGTCTCATCTACACCTTCATCGTAATGGTGAGCCACACCCCACCACCCCACCCAACCCCACCCCCTGGGGCGAGAGTGGAGAGTCGTGATCCCGTCCGTTTCTCAGTCGCCCGGCGGCTGATTTTCGCTAGAGAGGAATTCCGTCTCCGCGTAGATTTTTCGCAATTTAATTATTCGATGGGGAAAAAACGTGAAAGTAATCGAGTCGAGTTGACGTCAGTCGAGGGGTGAAACCGACGCGCGTTATTTTGAAGTCGGCTGATTGCGACGGTTTATTATTTATCGTTTTTATTATTATTATCATTAAATTTTCAATTAATTCTTAATATCATATATATATATATATATATATATATATATGTATATATATTATAATAATTAAGCTCGTTAATTTTTGCCTGCTCGTTAATCACCGTTATTTGCCTTACCGCGCAGTCTCGGTCCGGCGTGCCCGTCGGTCAGATGGTCATCCGTGCGCTGGACATCATAACGATCGCCGTGCCGCCGGCACTGCCCGCCGCACTCACGATCGGTATCGTGTACGCACGCGAGCGCCTCAAGAAGAAACACATCTACTGCCTCAGCCAGAACAGCATCAACATCTGCGGAGTCATCAACGCCGTCTGCTTTGACAAGGTGAGGTTCGGCATTGAGTCGGGTTGAGCGTCACGAGTTGTGTCACGCGTGATTAGCGCGTCTGCATTTGCAACGCGATCGGTCGGTTTAGGCACCCGTTATTACTCGCTCGCAGAAATAGTTGGGTTGAGTCTTAGCGTGTTGATGAATTTTATTCATGACATTGATTGTTTTCAGACTGGAACACTGACAGAAGATGGATTGGACATGTGGGGAGTTGCGCCAGTTGAAAATAGCAGGTTAGCAACAGTCGAGTATAGAATTGTTTGCCTCAAGTGTTAAAATTAGTAGCAATATGGCTAAAATAGGCACTAATACAATAGTAAATACGGGCAATAAGGGCAACAAATTTATGCTTAGGTAACATGGTCGTATGTAGGTAGCCAATATGTGCACTTGTGTGTTTGTTAATTTGCAATAAGTTTAGAACATTACAGCCACCAGGTGGCGCCTGTGTGTTGATATGACGTGTCATGTGGCTACCATGGGCTGGTGTGACCCACCAGATGGCACCAGTTTGACCCACCAGGTGGCACATGTGTGTGTGTGTGTGTGTGTGTGTGTGTGTGTGACTCGCTAGGTGGCCCTTGTCTGCCTGTCTGACATGCCAGGCCGCTCCTGTGTACCTGTGTGACCCATAAGATGGCCCCTGTGTGTTCTTGTGCCCCTACAGGTGGCGCCCACATGTCCCCGTCACCCTCCAGGTGGCGCCTGTTTGCCCCGCGTCACCCTCCTATGTCTGCTGCAGGTTTCAGCGTGAGGTACAGGACGCGAGCACACTGCCGCACAACGACGACCTGCAGTGCTGCATGGCCGCCTGCCACTCCCTCACCGTCATCGACGGCGACATCGTTGGCGACCCCCTCGACCTGAAGATGTTCGAGTCGACCGGCTGGGTGAGTCGCGCCGGCCAGAGGCAGAATGGGTGGGGCGTGGTCGGGGCGTGGTCGGGGGCGTGGTCGGGGGCGTGGTCGGGAGTGAATGGGAATAGAATGGGTGCATCGAATTGCTTTCGTTTGCTGCCATTATTGTTGTTATTTTCGGTCGTTTTTTTTTACTATTTACCAGCTTGGCGAGTCATCACACCGGATTATTATTATTGTTATTGTTGTTGTTGTTGTTGTTGTTGTTGTTGTTGTTGTTGTTATTGCCGTCGTCGTCGCCGTCGCCGTCGTCGTCGTTGTTGTTTGCTTGTTTCATGATATCATACTGTTGATTTATGTTAAGTTTGGTGTATCGGTTTCTGTATACCATGCACACACCCGGTCCCGTGTGCCCCCGGCGTTTATTTGCGTAACTTTTGATCTCAACGCATTTGATCCTCGGTTGCCGTACAGGAGCTGGAGGAGCCAGGAATCGATGACACCGTGAAATTCGATCAGATGATGCCGACCGTGGTGCGGCCCAGGAAACCTGACATCGTGACGTCGTCGGAGTCTGTGGAACACAACGTGAGTGCGGCGTGGCGGCAGTCGGTTCCATGGGTGGATCCATGGAACGTTAGGAGAGGGGAGGGAAGGAATGGACACATTATGCAGCCATTACCAGCTGTAGTGGAAGGGAACACAATTTAAAACACGTATAGAAGAGTATAGAATAAACATTCACCACATTCTACAAAATTCTACAAGATTAAATAATAATAAATTATTAATAAAATAAAATTGAAAAAATTTAAATTAAATAAATGAAATAATAATAATAGATTTAACAAAATTCTACGAAATTCAGATCTGGCACCCTCCCCCCCCCGTAATTAAGTGCATCGTAACTTTATGCAACAGAACGGGCCAGCCGTGTTCGATAACGTCTGTTAGTGCCGTCATGTTGGTTGCAGACGCCGTTTGAGGTCGGCATAGTGAGACAGTTCACATTCTCGTCGAGTCTGCAGCGCATGAGTGTGATCACGCGCAAGCTGGGGGCCGCCAACTTCCAGCTCTACGTCAAGGGATCGCCCGAGATGATCATCTCCCTGTCGAAACCTGAGACCGGTGAGACGCACGAACACACACACACGCACATGAACACGCATGCACGCATGCACGCAGGCACTCGCGCACACACACGCATGCACATTTGTGCTCATTTACTCATTTGTAGGCACTTGCGCACCCATGCACGTGCGCACGCACGCACGCACGCACGCACGCACGCACACTCATTTGTAGGCATTTATGCACGCATGCATGCATGCGCATTCATAGGCACCTGTGCACACACACACGCACACACGCGCACATGCACACACATTTCAAGGCACGCATGCATGCACGCGCAATTATACACGTGCCATGCTTACATGCGTACACATGAGTTCTACCCACGTCGATGCGTGAGTGCACCAGCAATGCATGACATGTCACAGCAACAAAGTGCATATCATTTCAACGTGTTTATAATATTCACACCTGTTCCCCATCACTAGACTAGTAATGCTGTAATGTTGTACCCCCCCCCCCCATCAGGCTTAGAATGTATTTGTTGGGGAGGTTGAACGCTCAGTGCTTCGCACCTCGCGCGACAGTGGAATCGAAGTGCGGCCGAAATGCCGACACTTGCTTGACGCTTACCTGTGCTTGTCACTCACGCAGTACCTGGAGACTTCAGCACGCACCTGCACGCGTACACGCGGCAGGGCTACCGTGTCATAGGCGTCGCCTGCAAGCCCCTGCCCCACCTCACCTGGGTGAAGGCTCAGCGTATCACTAGGTAAGCATCTCTCGTTTGAACAGCAGTTACGTACTGACTCGCCCTCTGCGAATCGTGCGGGATTTAACGTCGTCTCTGCTCGTGGCTCCGTCGTGCCTGGTCGTGGGTGTGAATGACAGTCACCATCAAGACGCACAGGCATTGGTGCTACACGGACCGTTTCGCATGCTAGGACACTATGAACTGAAATATACGGACAAAACACGGAAATGTACGGACTATGTACGTCGTGATAAACACCGACTCGCCGAGATTAGACGTTCTTAATTGGCAGTCCGTATATAGTTCGTAGTTAGTATGTAGGAGTTTGCTATGGACAGTAATTAGCTCCGGAATATTCCGTAGCTCTCTGTGCGTTTTGCCCCATTTCTGTGATTAGTCCGTGTTTTGTCCGTATAGTTCGGTTCATAGTGCGACACCGTATCGGGCCGATTCCGTCAGTCAGGGTCAGGTTGCGGTGAGACGGGGGGATCATGGCTGCGGTCACAGAGCGATGGTACAACGCGACAGGGTGATCATGGCTGCCATCTCAGGGTGAGGGTTTAGCGAGTAAAGTGGATCATGGCTGGGGTCTCAGAGCTAAGGTTTAGCGAGACGAGGGGATCATGGCTGCCATCTCAGGGCGAGGGTTCGGTGAGATAGCAGGGTTAGGGTTCCAGAGTCAAATACTCTTTGATTTACTGTCGGACTCTCTGATTTGACATATGCAGGAGTCCGTGTGACTCCCTGAAAATTCTGCCATACTAACTAGTTTGTTCCATAGCACGGCCTCCTTATTATTTCCACGCGAAATTACTGTATTTTTTAAGCAAATGTCCAAGGAAATTTTGGCAGACGTGCAACCGCATGAATCTTCAAAATAAGCACATGCGTTATTATACCTTTAGTTTTGAACTTCAGACTGCAGACTCCCTCATTTTTCCACGGACTCCCTCTTTTTGAGGCAGGGACTTCCTTGTTCAAAAGTACATTTCTACCCCTGAGATAGGGTGATCATACTGCGGTCTCAGGGCGTGCATGGCTTTGCAGGGACCGCGTGGAGCACGATCTCGATTTCCTCGGGCTGCTGGTGATGGAGAATCGACTGAAGCGCGAGTCGGCACCTGTCATCAAGATTCTGCGCGACGTCAGCATCCGGACCATGATGATCACAGGTAAGCTCACCTGAAAAATATTAAAATATTAATAATAAATTATTAAATATTATATTAATTGATAAAATATTTTCAATTATTAAATTTAAATTTATTTATATTTGATAATAAATATTTTCAATTATTAAATTTTAAAATTCAATTATGAAAAATGGAATGTGAAACGTGAATCAATTTTTGTCGTGAACACCTTGGTAACGTCGCGTCATCTTGGCTGCAGGCGACAACATGCTGACCGCGTTGAGCGTCGCGCGCGACTGCGGCATGATCGATAAAGATGCTGAGGTTGTGCTCGTCAGCGCCACCTACGATAGCGTCTCGTTCGTGCCGGAGGAATGCCCGCAGCAGGACGAGAACATCATGGAGGTCGGGGAGAAGGTACATTCATCACGACGCGCGCCGTCACGTCGATGCGACTAGACGAAGCTGTAGGAACGAAGCCATATATATCGCATGGAGGCTGCGAGAGCGGGCCTCCGTTAAACTTTAAAAAATAATAAAATAAATTTAAATTCGCTAATGTTCTCGCGTCCTCTGTGCACTTGTCGTAGGCAGAGCTTCGTAGGGAGGCTACGAGAGCGATTTTTACATCCGTGTTTCTTTCATCTCCTCTTTGCAGGCAAACAAGAAAGATGGCCGCCGGCAGAACCAATACCATTTTGCGACGACGGGCCCGTCGTTCGCGATGATACGCGACTACCACTCCGAACTCCTTCCTCGGGTACGTACGTACGTGTGCGCATGCGCGCTCACGCACCGCTCCCCCCGCGCGTTATCTCTGGCATCCCGCGGCTCGTGCGCACCAGTGTCCTGTTGTGTCCATTCCACCCACATCCAAGGAGGATGAGGAAGAGGATAGGAGGGAGGAGGAGGGGGTTGAGGAGGAAAGAGGCAAGGGGGCAGTTCCCTTTACCATGTTTACTGTAACTACTCGTGTGACAGTGGAGGGGCCGGCCAGTGCTACTCTGACAGTCCTGCATGTCTCTCGTTTGCAGTTGATTCTACGAGGCACGGTCTATGCAAGGATGAATCCAGACCAGAAGGCTCAACTTATAGAACACGTTCAGGACGTGGGGTGAGCGAGAGAAACCCTGCATATGCTATCTACTTTATATCTTTTTATACCTACTCTTTTTTTGAGCATAAAACGAATGTGCTGTCGCAAGCTTGCAATGGTTCTTAGAATGCAGGATATTTGCTTAACTCGTTGATCATTGCTGGTCTCTCTTTTTAAAGAGGTTTCCCACTCTATAGGCAGTGACTTCATTCCTCACTACTATGTGTATATTTGCAGAGTACTGCCAGACTCCTGTGCCTGTGTTGCGATGCACGTTACAACGAATTTCTCTAAAACTCGTAGCAACTTTGTTGTTCATTACAGGTACAATGTGGCAATGTGCGGAGATGGTGCAAATGACTGTGGGGTGAGTGTGTGGCAGTTTCCACGATCACGACTACACATTCGATTCTCGAAAAAAGATTAAATTTATAATTACATTTATTATTATCCTATTATTATTATCACTAAGGGAAATGGTTTTTGTTTTTACACATGGTTTTTGTTCTGCAGCAAGTTCACCGTAGATGTATTTGTATCGGTTTGAGTTCACAAAGTGAGATGGTTCTGATGTCACGTATTACTGTATTAATTAATTTCTCCTACCTTCTTTGCTCTCTAGGCCCTAAAGACTGCACACACGGGTATCTCGCTGTCAGAAGCTGAGGCGTCGGTCGCTAGCCCCTTCACCTCCCTCCAACAAAATATCAAATGCGTTCCCACTGTGATAAGGTAATACACCCTGGGAGCTTTTGTAAATCGTTGTCGTTGTCGTTTGCTGTAGGGTCTATCGCAGACATGCAAACATACGGTGATACGAGTTTGACTTAATTACGATAATGACGATAATTACCTACTAATTACTAATTAATGTTTAATGTTTTGTAATAAACGCTCGATTGCTAGTATTCTCAGACGATTTCAATCGTTAAGATGTGGTGAGAAGTACGGAAGTCGTGTTGGAGCTTAGATTTTGTTTTGTTTTTCGTGTTTGACGTTTTGCGTGATGTGCTGTGCTGTGGTTGTCTGCTTCAGGGAGGGCCGGGCCGCACTGGTCACGTCATTCGGCATGTTCAAGTACATGGCCTGCTACAGCCTCACTCAGTTCGTCTCCGTCATGATTCTCTACTGGGTACGTACCACGCTACCCCCTACTGAGGACCAACCCAATGTTGCCTTTTAACAAGCATCGACCCCAAGTTGCCTTCCAGCAAGCACCCAACCTGTGTTGCCTTCCACCAAGCACCCACCCCAAGTTGCCCGTCAACAAGCGCTCAGCTCAAGTTGCATGCAGCATATATTATACGTGTTACCCATGTATGTACATATATATATGTGTTTCACGTATAAATGTTGTTGCCAGTACGAGTCAACCTTGTTGTATGTCTAGCATGGACGGCATTGAACCCTTCGATCTCAACGTTCTTGGTTCTTTTCAGCTCGGTGCAAGCCTAACGGATCTGGAATTTCTGTGGATTGACCTTTTCCTGTTGACCGTGCTCGGAGTCCTGTGTAAGTACGAGCAAGAATAATCCTTGTGGCTAGCCGCTCGTCCGTGCATGTGCGATTACCCTGCTTCTGTTTCTCGCGGCGTCTTCACGGTAACTCGTAACTCGAGTCGGGTGAGTTACGACAGCGATCGTGCCGTTCAAATGCTGTCGGTGTGAGAACACCATGCATGCGATACATCTACGGTAAATATAACCACACTGTGCCATGCCATTCCATGCTACAGTGTTTACAGTACACCACGCCACGCCACACCACACCATGCCACACCACACCACAGCACAGTATACACACCACGCCACACCACACCACGCTACAGTATCCACAGGCCGTCGAAATACCGTGCGAATATTGGTACCTAACGGCTTCTGTCTGCCATCGAGCGTAATCGCGCGGCTGTTTTTTGAACTGTAGTTGGAAGGACGGGCGCCTATCCGATCCTTGTTAAGGAGACACCGCCGGCTAGCCTGATGAGCGTCACGCCTCTGCTGTCCGTCTTCTGCCAGATGACGATCATCACCATCATACAGGTCGTCTCCTATGTGTTCATCACCACCCAGCCGTGGTAGGTGTCCGCGGGCTTTATTATGTTTTTTCTCCTCGCTCTCTCTCTCTCTCTCTCTTTCTCTTTCACTTTCTCTCTTTCTCTCTCTCTTTCACAGTCCCTCCCTCCCTCTCTCTCTCTCTCTCCTATGTGTTCGTCACCGCCCAGCCGTGGTAGGTGCCCGCGAGCTTTATTACGTTTTTTCTCCTCGCTCTCTCTCTCTCTCTCTCTCTCTCTCTCTCTCTCTCTCTCTCTCTCTCTGTCTACCTTTTCCCCCTCTATCTCTCTCCCCATCTCTCTCACTCGCACCTCTATCTGAGTACACAGTTACTAGCTCATGTAATCTGTGAGAAAATCGCGAGTGCAACGGAATGTAAACAGGCAGTCGGTCAGACAAACAACTGATGGCGGTAAACAACTCACACACGCACGCACGCACACACACACACGCACGCACACACACACACGCACACGCACACACGCACACACACACACACACACACACACACACACACAC